AAAATCCTTACCAAGTACGCAGCTGCGCCTACCGCATCTCAGACATCTTGAGTGTAAGATAGCACGGGCGGATTCGCGAGAAGGCAGCATGTGTCACATTCCTCCAGCCCCGTTCCCGCGCACTTTTGACCGGATAAGGTACGCTGTTGTAGCTGCGGATCCAACCTGGCACATTATGAGGACCAGGACCCACGTAGGCGAGTGTACAGTTCGTTCTGAGCTGCCGTATCCTAACCACTGTAGCGCTATCGCATTTTTGCCACGGTTTGCATTTCATTGCACTCTAATTTAGAGCTCAAGTCAAAGGGTCAGAACTTACATAAAGAGCAGAGAACACGACTCGGAACAGCTGATTGCCAAGGATCTTCTTGAGCTTCAAACAAACGACGCTGATGGCAAAGTACAATGGATAGCCACTGAAATGCAGGATGAGCAACGGTCGCAGCACTCGCAGTGCACGGAGATTCTCCGACGCTTGACACTTACTCGTGACGTCATGACTGATCCTGAAATGAATAGTGAAATGGAGGGAAAATCTGGGATGCGCTAAACATCTGAAGGCACAGTTTGGCCTAGTGGGAGCATTCACTGCTTTCCATCTATTGCTGCTGACGTCTCCTGTTAAACATGTAAAGTCCTGTGAAGCCATGCTATAGCCGAAGCTTCGTTTATTCTTAACAAGAGTCTACATGTCTGATCGAGGTGAGACATGTAATTCGACAGAAACTAGCAGAAGTGCAAAATGCCCCTCTCAAGCCGAACAGCGCTCACTCAAAGAACCATAGCATTACTTACTGCCTTCTGATTTTTGCATTTAAAAAGAACAGCAGTCCGAACACGATCAGTGCTGCTATCAGCATAAGGAACAGAACACAGTGGACAATGAGGACGTCATCGATGGTGCTGGCACTGACTGAAGAGCAATAGAACGACGGCTGATTCAGGATGTATTTGTGCTGCTTCAGGACGCTAAGACTCGTCGCAAGAGCCAGCTGAAAACGATTTCTGTATCCATCTTCGGTAATCGATTTATCGATTTTGTCATCCACTGCTCAAGACTAACCGTTGCAAAAAGTAGAACCCATCCGATCATAGCTGTGCACTTATCGTACGTGGCGACCATTCTTGTCGCAATAACGCGCTCCAGTAATAAGCCCAGGAGTACGGTAGTATGAGCGGTGTAGGAGGATGCCGTGATTAGACGCATGGTGTAGCAGTACACACCGCTAACATATACATCACAAGGGTTCTCACTTGCAAGCACCTTCCAAAGATGAGTAACCTGAAAAAGGCTTTGATTTTTTTTCTAAAAAACCACCATGGCTGATATTTATGGAGTCAACTTGCACACCTCCGCCCGTGGATCCTAGCCCTTGCCATGTGTGAGGTGAATGGCTCCGCAGCTGCAACAGCGTGGCGCCCTTACCGCTCATAAGGGCACGGGGCAAGCTGGAGGGAAGTGATACTCGGGCGCCATGTCCGTGTTCGGCCTCGCTATCCTTGAGGTGCAGGCCTTGCGTTGATACTAAATTCCCGCATCGACATGCACACAGAGGTAGAGGACAACCAGAAATAAGCGGTCCCAGACAAATAGCTTTGGCCATGGTTAGGTGAGTGGCTGACCGTGTTATAGCGAGGGTGGAAATATGGAGACGGTATCGGGGTCTCAGCATCACAAAGCTCCGTCCCGTGCACTTTTTAGAGGGGAAAGTGGCCCTTCTGCAGCTGGGAACCCATGAGCCCTACCTATGGCAAGGACAGAATCCGAATTGAGTGAACAGTTTATCGTTAAGTGACCCCACCCACAGCGGGGTGGGGGTAAATTCGAACAATTAGTAAGTTGATATTAGAATATCGTAGCTGCATACAATTCAGTTGGGCATGCAGTAGAGAAAACCACTAGCCACGCCCATCAAGACTGGCAAATTACGAATGTCTTGACACACACCGTTTGTCAAACGCGCGTCGAGGAGGGAACAGCTGAGCAGCAGCTAACGCTCGGTACCCCCCCCCCCAACAAAAAATAATGTACCACCCACTTTCCTGTCCGCTTCAATTTTTCCGCCTTAATTATGCAGCAAGCCTAATGCTTTCAAAAGTGTTCCTTGGGCACTACCTCGGTGAAAGGGGGCAGGTAAGCACTCACGACATGGCCTCGTTGCAACGCAGCTTCTCGCTCCCCCCCCCCTCCCCTCCTCCGCCCGCTAAGTCCCCTCCTGAGAGTATTGCTTCCAGTAAAAAATAAATAAGCTGTTGTTTGTGTGGCCTACAATTACTAACTCTTATCCCTCAAATTTGGACAGATAATAACTTACTAGTAAGAAGGCGTAGGCGAGCGAGTGCACTATATTAACGAACACTAGTGCCAGAATAAGAATCTGGAATAACTACTGATAAGCTCAAAATAAAAATGAATTAGCAAGTAATAATGGAAATACTAATGCTAACAAAAAATCAATGCTTACCCGAAAGTTCTTATGACATGGTAGGTCCCTCCGACATACTCGAATGAAAAGTACATTAACAATTAGCGAAACGATACAAGTAATCACATGAATAACTGACGAAATATGCTGCGGTATGGAGGCGATAAACTCGGCCGCGGCAGGACAATCGTCCATTCTGCTAGGAACACATTCGGCTAGAACACTGCAGTATTGAGCTTATTCAAATCAAAGACGAAGTCCACGTTCACAGTATAGTTCGTGCTGCCACAAAAATGAAGAGCTCTAACATTGTCTCAAAACAAGGGCATTCTCTTCAGAGAAGAGGTCAGGTGCTGAACGGTGAACAAACTGGTGAACATGAATCACCCCAAAACGGGGCAGTACAGCGACGGAGGGGGGGGCATTTTGCATATACTTCCTATCGACCTGTCCAGCCTGACAAGTCAAGTCAGCAGGACTCACAAGCTTACTGCAGGCTTCACAAGAGCTCACAGGTTTTACCTGAGTGAGACTTGTAAATGTATCAAAACTGGCAGTAGCACGGCCTGCCACACGCATAGCCATA